TCAGTTCTTGGAGAACGCTGGTTCCTCCTTCTCGCGGCTAAGCCAGTTGGGCTAAAGTGGCTTCTTTCTCCTTGCAGAAGACAAAGGAAGTGACCAAGAGCTGGAGAAAGGGTCGGGGGTGAAGAGATCCAGCCCTGATCTGGGTCCGGCCAGCCCACCCCACAACCACAGCCCCAGTTTGCAGGCAGAAGAGCGGAATAAAGAACGAAGCAAAGCCGGCGAGGTCTCCAAGGAAGCCGGTGGTGAGACGGCCCCCTTCACACCTCTGGGCTTGGAGAAGGAGAAGCTGGAGGGCAGAAGGAAGGAGCCTCTCCTGCAGTCAACCCAAGAAGGATCCAAAAAGGAATTGCCCGGGGATTGCGCCCCGGTGGGGTGCAGCAGCAAGGAAGCATTCCCCCCGCTGATGGTGCAGACCGACAGCCCACCGCACCTGAACCCCAGTCACCTACAGAGTTTGGCTCTCTCGGGTCTCCACGGCCAGCAGTTCTTCAACCCTCTGGGCGCTGGGCAACCCTTCTTTCTCCACCCGACCCAGTTCGCCATGGCGCCCGGAGCCTTTTCGGCGATGGGCATGGGACACTTGCTGGCTTCCGTGGCAGGCGGCGGTAGCTTGGAAAACGGGGGACTCTCAGCTCCTCAAGGGACGGCGGGCACCACGACCCCGTTCCCTTTCCATCTGTCCCAGCACATGTTGGCTTCTCAGGTAAGGGGGCGAAGAGGAGGGGAGGGCAAAGGGTTGGTCTCTCTTGGTGAGAGGGTGTCCTGGTGGACCATCACTTGAATAGGAGCCAGGCGTGTGCAGCAGCTGCCAAAAAAGCCAACGCAGTTCTAGGCTGCATTAACCGAGGGATAGAATCAAGATCAAGTGAAGTGTTAATACCGCTTTATAAGGCCTTGGGAAGGCCATACTTTGAATAATGGTTCCAGTTTTAGTCGCCACGATGTAAAAAAAGATGTTGAGACTCTGGAAAGAGTGCAGAGAAGAGCAACTAAGAGGATTAGGAGATCGAAACATATAAAGAATGGTTACTGGAATTGGGTGTGTCTAGTTTAATGAAAGAAGGACTAGTGGTGACACGATAGCATTGTTCCAGTATCTCAGGGGCTGCCCCAAAGAAGAGGGAGTCAAGCTATTCTCCAAAGCACCAAAAGGCAGAACAAGAAGCAACGGAGGGAAACTAATCAAGGAGAGAAGCAACTTAGAACTAAAGAGAAATTTTCTGACAGTGAGAACAATTAATCAGTGGAACAACTTGCCTCCAGAAGTTGTGAGTGCTCCAACACTGGAAGTTTTTAAGAAGAGGATAACCATTTGTCTGAAATGGTGTAGGGTCTCCTGCCCAAGCAGAGGGTTGGACTAGAAGACCTCCAAGGTCCCTTCCAACTCTGTTATTCTATTCTATTCCCCACTTCTGCTCAGGATGGGCTAAATTTACCGTGCTTCTGATAACGTGTCAGCTTTAAGTTTGGTGGACTTCAGTTTCCAACCTATATGAACATACAGCATAGATGCATAGGGCTGAAAGGACCCTTGGAGATCTTCTAGTCCAACCCTCTGCTCAGGCAGGAAACCCTGTTCCATTTCAAACAAGTGGTTGTCCAATTTCTTCTTAAAAACTTCCAGTTGTTGGAGCTCCCACAACTCCTGGAGTCACTGGAGTTGTCCCACTGATCAATCGTTCTCACTGCATTAAATTCTTCCTTCGTTCCAGATGGCTTCTCCTCTTGATGAGTTTCCACCCATCGCTTCTTGTCCTCTGGTGCTTTGGAGAATAGCTTGACTCCCTCTTCTTTGGGGCAGCCCCTGAGATATTGGGAGGCTGCTAATCATGTCACTCCTGGTCCTTCTTTTCATTAAACTAGACATACCCAATTCCAGCAATCGCTCCCCATATTTTTACAACCATTTGTTTAGCGATTGTATGAAGTTGCAGTGGCACTGAAGAAAAATGACTTCTGACAGTTTTTTACACTTACCATCATTGCAGCATCCCCACGATCACTTGATCAAAATTCAGATGCTTGGCAACTGGTGTGGAATTACCGTATAACGGTTGCAGTGAATGTGTGAACGTAACGGCCAAGTTTCTAACCCTCCCTGCTTGCGAGGGGTTGTGTTAAAACAAACCCAGCCCAAATGTTTTGTGTGGTGGTTAATTTCATTACCCAGATCAGAGATGTAAATTTGCACTTTTCGCCGAGCTCTAATCGGGTCTGTTTCATTTTACTTTGGTTGATCAAAACGAACAAAATGAAATTCAACATAGAGAAAGGTTACACTTTAGGCAAGAAAAATCAAAAGTACACCTATAGACTAGGTGAAACCAGGCTTAATATTTTTTTTTCAGATCTCTGTTTTTTAGTGGGATGTTTAGTCATTGGATCCAGAGGTTTTTATATGGTATATTTCATATTGTAGCCCAGTGATGCTCAAATTTCTCACTTTTAAACCCCGTGGACTTCAACTCCCAGAATCCCTGGGCTCGTGATGGCGAACCTATGGCACACGTGCCAGAGATGGCAGGCACAGCCCGCTCAGTAGGCATGTGCGCCGTTGCCAGCTGCTCTGGCCAGCTGGTCTTCACGGGTGCCAGAGCACCAGAAAGTGGCCCGAAAATCAGTCCCCCCAAAAGGCCATTTTTCAGGCCGTTTTCAAGCTGTTTTTTGAACTTTTCGGCCGAGCTTTTCTCAGGCCATTTTTTTGGACCTTTTTTCAGGCCATTTTCAGACTGTTTTTTTAAACCTTTTGCCCTGACCGTTTTCAGGTCTTTTGGGGGGGCATTTTCAGGCCGTTTTCAGGCATTTTCCTGGGCCATTTTCAGGTAGTTTTTCAGGTTATTTTAGGGGCCTTTGGGGGCCCATTTCTCTACCATTTTCAAGCTGTCTTTCAAACCTTTTGCCTGGGCTGTTTTCAGGCCTTTTTTGGGCTGTTTTCAAGCCGTTTTCAGGTGTTTTCCCGGTCTGTTTTAAGGCAGTTTTTCAGGCCATTTTGAGGCCCTTTTTCCCAGCCATTTTCAGGCTGTTTTTTGAGCCATTTTCAGGGTGTTTTCCAGGGTATTTTCAGGCCGTATTTCGGGCTGTTTTCAGGGCCATTTTCAACGCCCCCAAAACAGCCTGCAAACACCCCAAAAGATCACCAAAAAAACCAGGCATGCATGCAACAGCCAGCTGATCTTTGGGTTTTCCAGCACAGGCACATGCATGCGCCCAAAAAGGTTCACCATTACTGCCCTAGGTAGAGATCTCATAACATTGTCAACAATCTCATGCCCTTGGATTCATATCATCTATTGGCCAGTTCTGCTAGCCTCTAAGACACCAAATGTGTCTCTGAGCCTTGCAGGAAAACGTCAGGAGTCACGGACAGCGTCCCTTTTGATAGAAGCTAATGGCTCCGTTACTCATGGCTAATTTTTCTAACTGAAGGACCTCTAAGATTCTTCTCTTAAGTTTCCCAGTTGTGTTGACTTGACTTGACAAAGTCAACCGATGACTGAGAACATTGTTAAGAAGAACAAGCTTAGGATATTATCTGGGCTGGATTTGTGGTGGGTTTTTTTTTTTGTTGTTGTTGTTACCTATTTCTTTTGCACGCTTACAAACTTTGCCATTTTTTTTTGGTTTGCAATTGTAGTCTGCTGGTCCGATTTTTATAACAAGAACTTTCCTTTTTTTTACCTAAATAGCAGTTGGTCTTCAAAAAACAGATCTGTTCAGAGATGGCCTCTAGGTCATTATACAAACCTACTCTCTGCAGTTTGCTTATGGCACCCTCTGCGTCCAGAAAATGGGGCTAACGAAGTAAATTTTGGATAAAATTAAGCCTGGCTAAGCACAATGTGTCAAGGCAGATAAGGGTTTGCACAGTAAGCAATGAAAACTTGTTCTTGATTGCCCAAATACGTTGGGATGTAGAATAGGGGTAGTCTTCAACTTACAACCACAATTGGAACCAGAATTTCCATCGCTAAACAAGGTGATTGTTATTTATATTAGTTATCTTTATATTTATTTATTAAATATATTACCCACCCATCTGATCTCAGGATAATTCCTGTTTGTTAAGTGGGTCGGCCCCAATTTTGCAATTAATATGCAAATCACTGCCATTGTTAAGTGAATCACATGGTCATTAAGCGAATCCAGCTTCCCCTGTTGACTTTGTTGTTGAAAGCCGGCTGGAACAGTTACGCGACCATGGGACGCTGCAACTGTTCCAAATACATGCTATATCAGTTGATAATATAGAAATACAAAAATACGAAAGCAAATGGTAGGAAAAATAAGGGAGGGAAAAGGGGAAAGGAGAAATGTAGAAAAGAAAGGAGAAAGGAAAGAAAATACATTGACTTCCACTTCTCGCTGGAGCAAGACAGTTAGTCCTCGACTTAGGACCACAACGGAGCCCGGAATTTATGTTGCTAAGTGAGAAATTTGTTAAAAGGGAATTTTGTCCTCTTTTCCTGCCACATTTGTTAAGTGAATTACTGCAGACATTAAATTAGTCACATGGTTGTTAAGTGAATCTGGCTTCCCCATTGGTTTTGTTTATCAGACAATCGCAAAAGGGAATCACGTAACCCAAGGACACCACACCTGACATAAGTACATGCCAGTTGCCAACAGTCTGCATTTTGATGCCATGATCATGGGGATACGGCAAAGGTCATAACTAGGAAAAATGATCATAAATAATTTTTTTCATAACAGTCACTAAGTGAATCGTAGCACGTTGTTGTAGTAAGTCAAGGACTACCTGTATAATAAAACAGTAACCACAACCTTTTACTTTAACATAATAGTATTAATTAGCCATTTCTATAACAACAAACCTATCTCATCGGTAAAACTCAAAATCAAAGCTTCATTTTTTTCCCCACCTCAAGCGCAGAGTCCAGAAGTGGTTTTCAAGTCGAAACGAAAGTAATTGTGCTTGTTTCTTTAATCCAAGCAGCCAATTTAGCCATCTCTTCTAATTTCATCCTCTTTTGCAGCCATTCGTCCATTGTGGGCAGTAGTGGGTTTCCAAATTTTTTCCTACCGTTTCTGAGAGCATGCACACAGGCCTCATACACCACCCTCTGTGTCAATGCTAGTGAGCTGAGCTGTTGTCAGCATTCCAGAAAACCTCCACTCCAACAAATAACTCCGAGACAGACATCCTCTCCAAAGTCCTTTTTATTAGAGTGGTAAACTGTCACATCTGGGAAATCCTGAATCTGAAAGTTCCGGGTTTCCTTGAAATAAGTAAAAAACTACAAATCCACACCCTGCATCCCTCATGGCATCATGTGCTCCAATCACCATCTGCCCCAACTTGAGACATTCCCTCACCCAGGTGCAGAAATAACATGACCTTGACTTAGAAGAAGAGTGCTATTATGTCTAACCACATGCACTCCAAGACATTCCTCCCTCCCATTTTCCCGTTATCCAAAATGGCAGTGTGGAAATGTCTGGTGCTAATATGGCTTCCAAAGCTGACAGCTGTTTTTTTTTAGTTTAGCTGAGGCGCAGCAATCCACTCTGCCGCGTGAATCAGCTGAGGTAAAAAACAAGGGAATATAGGAGAGAGAACGGTGGGGGTGGGTGGGTGGGGCCAGCCAAAGGTGGTATTTGCCGGTTTGCCGAACTACTCAAAATTTCCAAAACCGGTACGTCAGAACCGGTCCAAACCAGCTGAATACCACCTCTGATTGTGGG